TCTTTCACCAGCAGAAGAATTTACAAATGAGCAGGGAGGAAAAACTAGGTAGGCCCAGCCAGGAGGAAAACAGCCTCGTTGGGTGCTGGTGGCTCATGTCTGTAATTACAGCTACTTGGGAGGAAGAGGTTGGGAGCATTAGAGTTTCACATCAGCCTGGCAAAAAGGTTGGAAAGACTTCATTTCAACAGAAAAAACAATACTGAGCATGGTGGTGCATGCCTGTCATCTTAGCTATGACAGGAAACATAAATACGAGGATCAAAGTCTGCAAAAAAAAAGTGAGACCCTATCTCAAAAATAATTAGAGCATAAAGATCTGAAGGTGTGACTCAAGGAGTAGAGCAACTGCTTAGCAAGTGTGAAGCACTGAATTCAAACCCCATACCAGAACAACAGTCAACCCACCACCCAAGTGACAGACCCCAGCCGGCGCCCAGCCTCAACCTGTTTTACCTCATTTCTTCTTCTGTGAACACTCAACTTGAGAGCGTGCTTAGTAAATACAGTCCACACACTTTGAAGTGTACTTCTCGGCATGGAAGATTAAAAATTAATGTGGTATATCGGGGCTGGGAAGGTGGTTCAGTGGTGGCATGTTTGCCTTGCATGCATGAGGCCCTGGGTTCGATTCCTCAGCACCACATAAGCAGAAAAGAAAAAAAAAAAGCTGGAAGTGGCGCTGTGGCTCAAGCGGTAAGCGCTAGCCTTGAGGTGAAATGCTGAGGGACAGTGCCCAGGCCCAGAGTTCAGGCCCCACAACCAACAACAACAACAAAAATAATGTAATATAAGTGACTGGTTAAATCCATTTAAGTAGATAATTTGCTAGAGATGTGTATATATTGATGTATGAATAGCAACTTATCTACTTATTTTATATATAAAATATATATTATATATATACATTTTTTATATATATATACATTTTATATATATATATATATATATATATATATATATTCTTCAGAATCTGTACCATCATTCTCTTTGGCTTTTTCCTCTCAAAAGATGTGTAGCAAAAGCGCCTTCAATTAAAACCCCAATGGAGCTAGATGAAAAGCCCTTGAAAGCATTTTCCACCAAAGCTGGAAATGGGATGGGTGTGTGGAGGTGCTACTGTATTCACGGCAGACTCACTTCCGCTATCTGGGCTGCAATAAGGGACCGGAGCAAATGTCACACATAGGCAAGCAGGAAGGCCGCCCAGCATCACATGAGCAGGCTTCCTGGCTGCCCAGCCCTTCTAAAGTGTCAACTGGGATGCAGCACTCTCGTAGCTTTTCAGGAAGCTCAAACAGGTGGCAAGAGAACTAGGTATAAGAGCCAGTTGTTTGCAGAACAGAAATGACTGCTGGAAAAAAAAATTCTGCACCATCTTTCTGAATAGTAAATGACTTCATATCAAGGATGTGACAGGATGTGGTTATGGGGTATATGATGTGGCATATTATATTCTTTATGAGTTCAAAAATCTACCTGCTAAAAAACAAAATCCCAAAAGAAAGCTAAGCTGTTCAAACAAGTGTTAAGGGGCAACCCGCTAATCACTGATAATGGCTCTATAGTAGTATATCTCCTGTTAGCATATTATTTTTTATTATTTTCTCTACCTCTTCAGCCATATGCCAGTCCTTTTTATTTCTCATTCTTTTTTTTTTTTCAGAGAAAGTCTCACACTAACTTTGTTCAGGCTGGCCTTCAACCTTAATCCTGCTACCTGCATATACAGAATAGCTGGGATTATAGTACACACCACCATACCCAGCTCTGACATCTTCAGTGTTCTTAAATTCTAACTTTTGGTATTTCACTAAACCCTTCTGTGATAAAACCTATGAGCAAGTTATATAAACTACAACCTATTCAGTATTCAGTTGACTTCTAATCCTTGGCCATTATACTTTTCAAGATAGCTCTTCTTCTTGATGTGATACAAAGCAGAAGGTTAGATATCATCAGGGAATCATAGAATATCTTCCAAGGCAAAGCTAATTGCATCATTGATAAGGCTATGCTTACTGAATAGTTTTAATGAACGCTGTACTCATTACTCATTTGCATAGTACTATGAGTTCTTACAATTTTGAACCTTATCAATGGACTATTCTGTTATTGAGCACTGTTACTGAGCACTGTCTAAACAAACATATTCAAGGTCAAGGGTAGACTTTAAGCTCCCTTGGGTCTTCCAGTGTGTCTCACACATACTGTTTCTGCAGCAGATGTGTGATGTACAAAGCCATCCCACTCCACAGGTGAAAGTCGATGATAGCTACAAAGAAAGAGTCCAACAAGTCCAGGAACTAGGGCAAAACTGTCAAGTGTTCAAGCCGGGTTCCATACAACTGTGACTCTGCGCAGATCATTCATTACCTCTGGGCCATGGTTTTCTGATCTATAAAACAAGCGTCACAGCAGTGTCTTGGCCATAGGGTAGTTCTGGGATTAGTAAATCATCTCAGAGCAGTTAATACGGTCCCTAAGAGTGCTGCATGCTTTTACTATTGTTTCAAAAGCCCCAACCTCAGTCATAAGCTTGATTCTCTGCAACAAGCACCTATCTGATGTGTCTTCATTCCCATAAGGGGAACCACTGATGGAACCTAATGGGCTTCCGATCTCCCTGCAGCGTTGTCTGAAATGTTTTGGCAACTGAATGGAAGTTGGTCCAGCTAGTGGCCTATCACTCAGAGGCAGAACGATAATGAGAGTGTCCCGGACCACCTCAGCCACCAATAGGCTGAAAGCCAGTGGCCCTGAGCACCGCAAGTCTCCCGTCCTGGTTAAAACCTGTCCTCTTCTCCTAAGAGATTAGAATGCCTATTTTAATCCTGGATATGTCTTCAAGGTGTGAGTGGCAGCTTCCTCAGCCCTCCTTTCTCCATCAGGCTGGCTCTGGTAGAGTTAGTTTTTGGGCTTAGGAGGTGGTGTGCGGACAGGTGCAGGGGAGAGAGCTATGGCTAATGCTTAGCAGCTGGAATGAGGTGGCGTTTCCTACACTATCTGTTTTCCCGATAGACAATCCATTGAAGTTCTAGAAACTTCCATTGTATTATAGAAACCACAGTTTCTCAAAACTGCCTCCATTTCAAAGGTGCAGGGTGGCCTGGGTCTTACACCTTTGGAAGTCACAGCTTTGGCGGATTCCCATGGCAGCCACTACTGAAACGCATTCTCAGGGAGAAAGAAGACACCTGTTTGCTTGGGATGAGTAGTGATGGACAGCATGGGGCAGGAGCTGGCAAACTTCAGCAGAGGTCCAGACAAGAAACACTCCTGGTTTTACCAACCATATGGTCTCTGTGATAGCCTCTAATCTCTGCCGCTGCAGAGCAAAGCAGCTCCGGGTACAAATATGAGCCCAAAGTGGGCTGAGGCTGTTATTCACAGATAGTGACATTTGAATTTTATCATTGCCTTGTACCCTGACACAGGATTCCTCTCTTCATCTTACAACCAATCTTAGTTCTCAAGTCACACAACAACAGGTACCAGTTGGCTTTGGTCAGTATGCCACTGCTTGCTGACCCAGGCTTAGATTTTCTCCTTGTGTTCTGCTTATAAAGTGAGAATGCCTTCTGCTGGGCTTCATCTGACATAGATAAATTAAGGTTTCTTTCTTATGATGGATAACTTTTCATCAAACCCCTAGTAGTTTATTAAGCCATAATCCTAACGGCATATGAATATGGAACAGAGAATCAATTAATCCCTTTTGTTCTCATTGTCATTCAAATTAGGTTTGAAATGTCACTGGGGTTTTACCTCTTTCCTTACAAGGGGTTCCTATAAAGAAAATTCAGTGTTCAGTGGTGTCCAACTCCAGAGCAGAGTGGGTCTGGTCTAGGAGGACAAAGGTGAGAGAAAGCTGACCAGACTAAGCAGGCTTTGTTTTTATTATCTAAGCCAAGATAAACAAGCCATGTCTTCTTAACACGGCATGGTATTTATGAGGTTAAAAAAATCATGTTTCGTGCCTTCTTTCTCCTGAAGGAGGGAAATACTGACCCATAAATATCAATAAGCAACTATAAATGTATAAATCAGCTTGTTTTGATTCAGTCATGTAATTTAGTTATCATAATGCATTTTAACCACGTTGTTCCTGCACTTAGTGATCAGGACAAGTTACAATATCATGAGGTGGCAGAGCTCTGGGCCAAGCAGCGTGTGCTGTTCCAGATCTCATCCCTGCCGGGGGCAGGTGCTTCAGAAGGAAAGAAGAAGCAACACACACCACCTTAAAACAGAAACACCACCTGCGCCATCAGCAGCCTGAGGCTTTGTCCTAAACGCACCTCCCAGCATGCCTTTACTGTATTTTCATATCTAAGAGAGCTACAGAGGGCAGAAACAGCTGTCTTTCTTCTTGAGACTCCTGGATGTGTAGAATTCAAAGTACAGGAGAGCCAGACAGTGACTAAATCACAAGCAACTGCCAGCATCTGAGCCGAGCATCAACTGGAAACATCCTGATTCAACCTACAAATATGTATGCAGCTAATCTAAGTGTGCCTTTCAAAATATGCTACACTTTTATTCCTCCTACCCCAAGCTCACGAAATGGGTAACTACACCATTAAAATGCACTTACCATGATCAGAAATTTGCATTTTTGGTCATACCTAATGACTGTTTTCTTAAGAGTGTGTATAGTCACTAAATAAATTAATAAGGATGTATGAAACATTAGTTGATCTTCGTTTGTACTTTCCTCTGTAACCAAACCACCTCACAACCCTCTGTTTAACTCTACACTTCATAATATCTCCAGCTAGGGAAACTAGAGACCGCTGTGCTCTTCCAGCATCGATGGTCATTGGCGCTAGAAGCATCATGGGAAGAGTGGACGTGGACATGGGGACACACATACTCACACACACACACACACACACACACACACACACATACACATGCACTCACGCACACACACACACCTTCGCTGGATCCTCAAGCCCCGCCCCCTGTGGAAGGCCAGGGAGGCAGTGGCTACACACCTGTGCTCGTGCGGTAGGTGCCGGTGTGTGCTGGCGGCAGAGGGTCTCCCTGGCTCTGGCTGAGGCTCCTCATAGGGGGCTTCTGGTAGACTCGGTCTTCATAGATGGGGTCTATGTGGTGCTCCGGGGACTGCAGGGCCCGCAACTCGGGGCCCAGGTGTCCATGCTGGCTGCTGTAGGAGGCTCGGGACCCAGCTGCAATAAATGAAGGAGAGGGACGTGAAGGCTCCACCAACATTCAAACGCGGTTTATCCAAGACGCTTTGAAGTCAGAGAAGAGAGGGTCAGGTTGATTGACATTCGCAGAAAACCAGGTGAATATCCCCAACGGCGGCCATGATCTGGCTAATCAGTTTATCAGCACATCCAGCTGCCTGGTTTTGCTCCCCAAGGTGATGTCACGACAGAATGACAATGGTGCTGAAAGAAATCCCTGCAGCAGAAGACCACAGCCGAATGAGTGCGACTGGCCTCTTCACCAAAGGAGTCGGGCGGACAAACGATCCTAAAAGCCTCTTACAACATCGACCTCACACCACAAACTGTACTACCGGGATTATTTTAAGTGACGAATCAATGAAGAGGACACAATGGCAAAGCCATCTTCAGGTTGACTGCTGGGCAGTGGGCTGGAAATTCTTCCTTTTAGCCGTTTCCCACCCCCCCTTCCCCCCCAGGACAACAGATAAGTCAAAATGCTTGAGCATCTAACAAGCTAAACCTCTGAGGGAAACAGAAGCTAAAGATCAAGACTTCCGGGCCATAGTTTCCTTTATTCTCACTCTCCAAATCCAAGTATGTGCACTCATCTCTCTCCCTCTGGAAAATGTACCAGTAGACGTCATTAACGGGCTTACTGTTGGCTAGGGGGTTGAAACAGACCGATTTCCGGCCTTTGTGGACCCTGACTTGGGACACTTCATTGCACATCATGGGAAAAGGGTGGCTGGAGATGACCACTGGAATGCTCCTTAAAGAAACTAGACAGGGGCATTTGTATCTGTACACAAACACCTCCACTAAAGTATGCGCTACACTGGGGAGGTACAGCATCTCCCTGACACCTCTGAATGACTTACAATTGAAAACAAGGAATCAATACCAGAAAGATGGACTGTGCATTATGTATGGAGGGTCAAGGGCAGCAGAAGAATGGAGAAGGACGGGTGGGTGAATACAGTCATGTTATTCAATGTATGTATGTGAAAACAGAACTGGGTAGATGGAGGGGGTGGGTGGGGTTGGAGCCATGGCAGAGAATGATGAAAACATCAACAGAAAGGCATGATAATCAGAAACTGACCCACTGAATCGAAACTCCTTTGGGCAATTACTTAATAATGTTTTTTGTTGTTTTTTTTTGTCAGTCGTGGGGCTTGAACTCTGGGCTTGGGCGCTGTCCCTAAGCTCTTCAGCTCAAGGCTAACGCTCTACCACTTGAGCTAAAGCACCACTTCCTGTTTTCTAGTGGTTTATTGGAGATAAGAGTCTCACGGACTTGCCCCGGCTGGCTTTGAACCGCGATTCTCAGATCTCAGCCTCCTGAGTAGCTAGGATTACAGGCATGAGCCACCGGCGCCTGGCATTTTTTTTTTTTCAAAGAAGGAAGCTCCTTCATCAGGTGATAAGCCTTCATGAGGGTTACAGTTGAGTTAACAAGACTGTAAGGAAGGTATGCATGGGAGAAGAGAAAACTTGAGGGAACTGGAAAAGCTGAGATGGGCTTGGGCAGCAAGGAGAGACTGTCCAGCTGAGTCCAGCACCCATGCAAGAACCATGGAAAACCCAGCTGGCTTTCAAAATGACCTTCAGCTAAATCCCTCACACTAATACCCAGTGCTGCACTGGGATTTCACGCCAGCTGCTCTTCAACTCCTCCATCCCAAGCTCTATAGCCAGACACATCGGGAATTCCTTGACCTGGATAGAGTCTGTGGACAGGTTCACCTACGCTCCGATGATCCAGGGCCTTCACAGGATGCCTCTTAAAAGCCAAAGTGTTCTAATGCTCACATCAGGTGTTTGAGGGAAAAAGTCATTTGAAAGGTTTGCAACTGCTTACAGGTAAATGTTGGTTGGCATGTGGCTTTCCCCCCACCCTTTTTCTTTTTCTTTTCTTTTGTTTTATGGTCAGTCATGGGGGTTGAACTCTGGGCCTGGGCACTGTCCCTGAGCTCTTCAGCTAAAGGTGAGTGCTCTACCACTTGAGCCACAGCACCACTCCTGGTTTTCTGGTGGTTTATTGGAGATAAAAGTCTCACAGACTTTCCTGCCTGGGCTGGGTTTGAACTGCAATCCTCAGATCTCAGCCTCCTGAGTAGCTAGGATTACAGGCGTGAGCCACTAGTGCCTGGCATCCCCCTTTTTCTTTTGATTGCCAGTATTGGGACTTGAACTCAGGGCCTCTCACTTTCCCTTAGCTTTGGGGCTTTTTGCTTGTTAAATTTTGCTGTTTTGGGGGGATAAGAATCTCATGGACTTCTCTGTCCAGGCTGGCTTTAAACCACAATCCTCAGAGCTCAGCCTCCTGAGAACAAGGAAAACAGGTATGAACCACCAGCACCAGGTAGCACAGGCTTCTTTAAATGTAACTCAGCCAAGAGCGGCGTGAGAGCTCTAGGAATTTACTCTCACTCAAACACACTGCCTGTGGTGAGGGAAGGAAGAAGTGCACAGCCAAGCTTCTCACCTTCCCTTTGCTAGTAATGAAATAATCGCTGATTTATATAGCATTGTGATGAATGATCGCTTCCAAATACCTGTTTTGCATAATTAGGTTCATTGCAGCTGATTTATCAAATGTCAACATCACTGGTTATTATTTCAAGCTTAGATTTTTCCCAGGCATCTACTCTATGCCTTGAGTTCTTGCTGTCAATGTTTTAGGCCTGAAGGTTTTGAGAATATTGTTAAGGATTCAAAAGAGTAGAAAGGAGACAGTGATTGCGCTCAAATGTCAAATAGTTAAATAAAAGTTAAGCATACTGGTAACAGCAGGAACTTTATCATCATTCCTTTATTCTAAGTTTTGATAAATATCCAATGGTAAGCAAAGAACAGACCAGATTGAACTTTTAAGCAGTGATACGTGAAGATCCTCCTGTTATAAGCATTCAATTTGTATTAGAAAATTTTCAGTAATACTAGTCATAAAACTAATAACCAAGAGTCAGAGGCAAGGAACAAGAATCTTAAAGTCAAGTCTATCTTTGTGAATATCATACTTTCAAGATGTTGAGACTGATTTTAAACAATATATGATCATAGCAAGGCTCAGGTGCTCAAGCCTGTAATCCTAGCTCCTTGTGAGGCAGTGATTCCAGTATCACTTGGAGAACAGCTGGGGTATGAAAGGTTAAGAGACTCCTTCTCTAACAATGGTGAGGTGTGGTGTTCTGCGCCTGTTATTCCCGCTATGGGGGTTGCAAAAAGTGGCTGTGTACAGTGTACATGCCTGTCATCTCCAGTGAAGCAAGGAAGCAAAATTTGGAGAATTGCAGCTCAGGCCGCTATGGCATAAAGTAAGACCTACCGCACAATGACCAATGCAAAGAAATGGCCTGGACTCAAGTGGTAGACCCTGAGATCTGTCTCTAGCACCAACACCATATGTTGTGCATTAACATATATATATATATATATATATATATATATGTACATACATGAATATACACATGTGTATGTGGTATATATATGCATGTTATATACATTTATACTTGTGTGTTACATATAAATATAAATGTAGTTTATATGTTTTCTATATGTATTTGGAATGAGAAGACATAGATACATATACATATATACAAAGTGTATAAACATACATATGTGTGTATGTGTGTGTGTGTGTGTGTGTGTGTATGTGTGTCTTCTCATTCCAAGAAAATGACTGCTTCTTAGTAGGATTTTTCTCTCAACATTATGTCCTATTTGCTGACAAATCCCTAAGTTCCTTACAAGAACTCAGCGATAAACTGTACATGACAGCACATATTTCCAACTCCAGTCATGTGGGTATTCTCGGCAGGGCAAAGAGCACAAGAGCCTATCTGAAAAGTAACATCAGCAGGAAAGGGCTGGGGGGTGTGGCTCAAGTAACAGAGCACCTGCCTCACATGTACAAGACCTGAGTTCTGACCCTACAATTTCCTTACAGAAAAAGAAAGTTGTGGAAGTGGAGTTATGGCTCCTATGACTGAGCACTAGAATTGAGCAAAAGAAGCTCAAGGACAGCACCCCAGGCCCTGAGTTCAAGCCCCAGGACTGATACAAAACAACAACAAAACTGCTTGGGCCATTCAGTCCATCCTTGGTTAGACAGCAGTTACAGTTACTTTTTGATCAAAAAAAATACTAGGTTCAACCAAGATTTTTCATAATTTAAACTAAAATCCTTCCATGTGTTCCCTGGGCAGTCCACGGATCGCAGCAGTCCAGCAGCTCAGGGGCACAGTCTACACGCTAATCTACAACGGGGATGGAGCAGCCAGCCATCCCCACCCTGCCCTCCCCCTCTGCTGTGGCTGGTTTGGAAAGATGCTAGGCTGGCTCAGAATGGAAGCAGCTCCTAAATGCTCTGCTGTGGTGGTGTGGAGAAAGACAGAGAGGGAGCAAGAGATCTGACAGGCTCAGAATGTTGTGTAGACTAAAAAACAGAGCCCTCAGACCACCCTGACTTCTGTGTTGGGGCCATTCCTCTTCCCTGGTGTCATGGACATATGCAAATGCCATGTAGAAGCATGATATCAGGGTTGACGCCAAAGGTAGTATCTCAGGTTCTTTGTAATTTTACTTGTGTGTGTGTGTGGTGTGTGTGTGTGAATTTTGCTCTGTGAACTTGAAATAAAGACACCTGACTTTTACCCCAGATCTGTCTCTAGTCAGATGGGTAAACTAAGACAAATTTTTTGATCCCTAGTTTTCTCAAGTATAAAAAACAAAAGATGGCAATCTAAGCATTTGTATAATCCGGGATATTTTTGGAGGAGAGAGATAAGAGTGATCACATGTAAAAGTCCTTTGCAGTTGATAAAACAACATAAAAATAGGTGTTCCTGTGTCACTGTAGTTTAGACTCAAGAAATGAGACCATCTCATGCACATATACCCTTCATTTAAAAAAATTAATCAAATGCTTCCTAATGTTAACTATTCAAATGGCAAAAAGAACTTTGAGATTTCATTTTGAATTATTCTCA